TTGGGGAGTTTTTTTTTTTTTTTTTTACAATAATTTCTTTTTATATATATGCACAGTTTCGGCATTGCGCGATAGGCTTCATTTCTGATTTTATGTGGAAGAGGAGCTGAGTGAAGTGTTTTGATGGAAAAAAAAACTAATGCATAAAAAGGGAACTCTCTGCTTTTTTGCCATCATATGATGTGCATTAGTTGATTATGTTTTATTTTTAAAACCTGCAGTTGGTCAACATCATCTTCTACACACGATAAGAACCTTTTGTTTTCTTTTTTGGTTTTCCCTTGTAGGAAGAAAGAAAGAAAAAAAAAGCCAAAATGGATGCGTCCCTGCGTCTATAAATTGATCACAAAGCTCCTTTCAGAATAGCAATTGCTGTTCTTGCTTGAAAGGACACTGTGTGTAGTGCGTTATTTGCCCTTAGAACAACCACTCCAATGGTGGCATGACTTTGTGTGCACTCTTGCTGTGCGGCACAGTGCCGTCCGCGTGCTGCGAGTGACTTTGGCCTGCAGGGGTCGCTGGGGCGGCATCTGAAACGGAAGCTGCCTCGTTGCGTTGCTGGTGTGCTGGTGTGTCTGTGGATTATTAGTTTGGTCGCTGCACCAGCAAAGGTGGACCTTGGGAGTGGGGAAGTGTATACTCTGGCGGTGTTTCTGTGATCTCGGCCATCCCCAAAAAGGACCCCACACCACACCACCGTGTTTTTTTTTCTTTTCTTCGTGACTTTATGGATATTACTCCAATGCAACGGGCCATCAACAATAATACATAAATATACATGAATACAATTTTTTTTTTTATTTTTTTATTTGACTACCGTTGGCCATGTGGGGTACGCATTGGTAATGAAATTATAATGGATCTCGTAGGTGGCAGAACATGGATTTTTTTTCGCCTCTCTGAGTCGCCTCAGCGGCCAAATCTAATTTCCACCACTTGGAGGGAATAATTGTTACTATCTCTAGGGTCCCTGCCTCTCCCTTTTTTTAGCAGCATTCACACTGAAGTGAATCATGTAAAAGAAACTGCTGCTGATGGCACACCGGTACGCGCCACAGGATCTTCTTGGATAAAGTTTTCTCCCAGCACGACTCTGCGGGACCCCGGTGCTGTATGACGTTTGTAGCTTATGAACCCGTAAACTCTCAAGAAGAGAATTTGCTGACCCATGGCTTCCCTCGAAATAATAAGGGATAATGGACAACGGCTCCAACTTTCGATGGCCAAACGCCGCCAAGGGGAATAGCACCCCTAAGAACGCATGTATTGAAAAGAAAAATAAAAAGAATTTGGTTTTTAAGGAGACCACCCACTTCAAACATTTAGTGAGTTTAATTTCTTTGAATAAATTCATCCACCCCACCTTGACACCACGTGAAGGCAGCCCTCATTACCAAAGGCATCTTCTTCCAAAACCCCGCCCCCCTACCCTGGGCCAGCCCACCCCATGGGAGGCAGAGGCCCACAGCCAGAGCGCAACGCGCGGTGCCGCAAACAAAAGCGCAACCACCACCAGTACATGTAGAAAACACAAATCACGACGGCAAAAACCAGATGGCGCGCCTGGCACCCC